TACTGTATCTGGAGAAACGCAAAGTATAGGATAAAGCTGCTCGATAACCTGTGAGTGAGGAGATCGAGGACCTCTGGTCAAAGAAACTAAGTGAGAAATTCCGCTACTCAAGCCATACTAGGCTGGTCAGCGGGATATCCCTGAGTTGTAGACCAACTGTGGAACACCTTCCACTTGCGCTGATACACCTCCATGGAAGACGAACATATGGAATCAGCTGAAAAGAAAGTAACTCGACAGGACAAACTGGATCTCGCCAAGGACCGAATAAAAGCCAGGCATGAAGATGCAGGACGTGAAGGCGGGATGTAAGACTGTCAACCAAGGTTGAAGATGAAGATAGGGAGATGACAGAAGAGGTACAGGAGGGGAGAGTAGGAGGTGCTGTAACTGGGTAAACCATGGCTGAGCTGGCCAATAAGGAGGAGCCAGAAGGACCCGACAAGGAGTGGTATAGATGAGTGAGATCATCGAATGAAGTAATCAGATAGGAGGATAAATGTAAAGATATTTATGGGACCGACCTTGGCTGAAAGCATCAACTTCCACAGCCTGAGGATGAAGGACGGTTGACCAAAAGAGAGATAACTTGTGATTGAGGCTTGTAGCAAATGCGTGTATGTGGGGAATATCCCATTGAGTTAAAATATCCCTGAAACAAGGGGATCTAAGGACCACTCTGTCAGATGTAGCCAGTAAGGGGGGAAAGATGATTTGCAATAAGATTTAAAGCACCTGGCACATGACATGAGATGAGATGAATATATTGTGTGTGGGCCCAGTATAAGAGATCCAACATCCAAAAACATAGATCTTTTTACCAGGTGTCCCCTTAGTGATTGATATGTGCCATCACCATAGAAGAGTCGGAATGAACCATTACCAGACAATGTCAGGCGAGAAGAAGGAAGAGATTCAGCTCCCAATGTACAGCTAGAAGTTCGAGAAGATTGATATGCAAAGTGCTTTCATCCACAGACCAATGGCCTGAAGCTTACTGGTGGTTGACCCATGCACCCCAGCTCTGCAGGGATGTATCCATGAAAAGATGTAAATAAGAACACAGGGGAGGAAGTGGCATGCCTGCTGAAGTATGTGGTTTGTCCACCCACCAAAGCAGATCATCTCACAGGGTAACAGGAACGGTAATTGGAGTAGAAATGTTCCATTGATTGTGAAGAACACACTGAGGGGATCTCATATGAGCATGACCAAGAGGACCAGTGATGTCATTGAAGACCACATCCCCAAAAGTGATAGAACCTCGCAAGCAGAAAGTGATGGAACTGAGAAGGCATGGCAAATTAACAATTCCATATATGATGTCTTAAAGGAGAAGGTTGGGCCCGGGTGATAAGAATTTCGAAAAAAGACCCGAAATGGACGAGATATTGAGTAGGTTTGAGGAAGGACTTCTCCAGTTTTATTAACCAGCCCAATCGAGCAGCCAGAAAAATGAGTTGCCGAGTATGGCTGTCCGTCTCTGGTTCGGAATGAGTCAGAAGATGCCAGTCATCCATTTATTAGTGCAAACTCAACCCCAGAGCATGAAGATGTCGAGCAAATGCTCGGACTACCCTTAAAGGAAACATAAGGGGCCAAAGCAAGTCTGAATGGTAGGGATTGAAATTAATAAACCACCCCGAGATGGACAAACCAAATATAAGGACAAGATCGAGGTGATATAGGTACATGGAGATAAGCATTGGCGACATCCATTTTGGTAACCCAGAGAAAATGTCCACCACAGGGTGAGAAAAGACACAATGGTAAACCTGGGCTATTGAACAAAGCGGTTGAGGTGAGATAAATCTATGACCAGCCTCCAGTCTCTGGTTCTCTTGGGAACAACAAAAATTCGGGAATAAAAACCTGTTGAAGGATAGAGAATAGGTTTGATGACCTGCAATTTCCGAACTGCTTCCGACAGATGCTGACTGGTCACGGGATCTCAAGGAAGAGGGAAGGAAATGGAGAAAGGGGATACAGGAAGTGGGGAACGAAAGAAGATCACAAATCATTCTGTTAAAACCTGACGAACCCATTGATCCCCGATAAAGGAATGTCAGTAATGAAGAAAATCACAAGCCGAGCTCCCACTGGGTAGTCATTGGTACTATTAGCAACGTGAGGTGCGTCGTCGAAGAAAACGACGAGAAGAGGCACTCAGAGAAGAAGGGACAGGTAATGATTTGGGAGGGGAAGGACAGGAAATGGTAATAGGTGGAATATGGGGCTCTTATTGAGATAAACATGCAAAAATATTGGTAGGGGTAGATTGTTGTTTGACCGATGCCAACCATGGCTCTAGTGTTTCTGGGATTGTGTCAAAAAAGTATCGCTGCAGAAATAGGGCAATATGTAAATCCTGAAGATAAGTCAATGGTAAACAGATCCAAGCTAAATTGTATCACGACCTAGAAGGTCCCAACAACAGAGAAATCGCGTATGCAAAACAAGAGCCAAAGATGACAAACAAGCTAGTGTGGAAGAAAGAAGAGAGAGGGTATCCCAGAAAACTCCTCAGGATTTCTGTACAGAACCTCAGAAAGGAGGCGTAGAGAATAAAAATACCATAAAAGAGTTGTAAGGGTAAGACACAGGCGAGAATATTGGGCATGGGTCTGACTGACAGGTGATTTGGGAGCTGCCCCCAAACAGGCAATATGGAACCTAACAACTGTTTGTCCAAAAAGGGATAATTGGCACGATGGTATGAAAGCGCGAACTGATCTGAAGTCGCGGGATACGAGACATGCTAATCCCATCGCTTAATTGCGAGTCAAATTGATCAGCATGAACTCAAGTATCAGAAGAGGGAGGAAAATTCCAAATAGGAGTGCGAAGAGTGGTCATGTAGTAAGGAAGGACGTGGCTCATAAGAAATGGGAGAAAGCTGTTCACCTTTCTTACAATTTAATTTTGAAAGAACCAGCTTTATGTTAATGAATGATTATAAAGTTTAATGTAATTAACTTTCCAAAAGAGACTGAGAGAACTACAATAAATGTTAATGTTATGCACTGGTGGCTAACTTATTAACTAGATTTGGAGTATCACATCAGAAAAAGTCTAAAACATTTTCTAGTTTAGAAGCTGAGAAAGGACGAGATCTGGGAATTGCCAACATTTTCTTATTGTGTTATATTGTGATACAGAATGCTTTATAAAGGCAAAATCAAATACTCACACTCTGCTGCAGAGTTTGAAGGTCCCCTAATGACTCACAGAGGTCCCAATGTACCGATCCAGCTACTCTTTTATAGCTACCTGTGAACCTTCCCCCTAAAAAAAAACTTTAAGCTAATTTATGTGTTCTTCCTTCTGTCATGTTGATATCCACAGAGAATTCTGACTGGTATACTTGCAACAGACACACATGTAGAACTAGCATAACTCATCAATTAACAATGCAACAAATTAACCTGGTGGATCACAATTTGCAAAAATGTTATTTGAGAATAAGGCCTTGTAAAGCAATATAATAATAATAATAAAACAGCAAATGCTCATCTAACTTCACGATCAAAGGCTAGATCGATTTATACAAAAAATATTTCATCTGCCACTGGTGGATTATTTAAATTGCTTGGAGATATTTTCATAGTATTTTACATGCTAATTTCTTAAACAACACTATGTTCGTTCAGCATAAGGTTTTAGATCGTTGGGCGGCCTGGGATGGTCAGGTTCAATTTCACCTCTTCCTCTCTCCTTAGCTATTGTTAATAACTGTCAAAATCCTACTATTATTATTCTTTACATTAGGTTCATATTAACACAACACATAATGATAAACAGTGATTTGTCTTCACCTTTTCAGGGCCAAACAACACTATGCTTATTAATATGCTTTGCAATTTAAGATCTTCTCGTAATGTATTACTGGTAAACAATAACTGGGGTAATTCATCATTGGTTAATTTGTTGCCACGTGACGTTATATCATGGGTCAAATGTGAACATATCGAGTGTTTACTAGATATGCGGTATTCTTGTATATAAGATGGCCAAGAAGTGACGGCAACAATGTAGTTGAATTGCAGACAGAGATAGAGACGGACAGTTGGGTCGAGCGCGTGAGTCGTTTGTTGTGAATTATAGCGTTTTTTAAGTTATAGCGTGACAGTGGAAATTAAGTGTATTGCAAAGTTGTATTGAGAAAGAATAAACTAGTTTTATTTAAGAAAGGACTTGTGTCGCTATAGTTTCATCAGAAAGAAATTATACAGGAGATTAACTAAAGACCAGAGAAGTAACAATATGACTGCATGTCTGCCCTTATAGGGCTGAAGAAGTCACTTAACTCATCAAGTGGTCAACCGATTTTGCATATGCTATTGATTAGTGTTTTGAAATGTTTGTAAGGTTGTGCTAAAGTTGCCTTATTTACGCAAATTTTGAAATGTTTAAGTTATGCCATTGCTATACTGTAATCATTCCTTGTTGTTTTTATTTTTAGATGCTCCTTCGACTTTTATTATTCTTCCTATCCCCACTAAAGATTCTTTTTTTTTTTTTGTTAGTTGGGTATTTCCAAAAACAAGTGATTTGTGAGCGTAGACTAATCTTTTTAGGGTGGGCGAAAATACTAAATGATTAAAAAAAAGTAAAACAGTCTTTTTATTTGTATAACCCATTTAATCAAAACATCGATGGTTAATAACATTGCAGGTTACGTGAGTGTTTGTGTGTATATAACAGTAGGAAAGAAGTCAAAGAGTAAAGGCCAAAGCCATAGATAATAGATAAAAGTGACATCAACGTCCACACAATATCTGAACGAACTCTACTGATTGGATAATGTGTATAGATATACAAAAACAATTAACAGCATCCCAACTTATCACGTGGCCCTTTGTTTTGGCTGTCATCCAGTAGGCCAATGCCCTTGAAAGCTGTCTGGGGTAAGTACAATGAGTGGTTTGATTGGTTGTTGCATAGAGCTCTTTCAGTTCTGGACGAGTTGCGCAGTTATTTGGAGATAGTGCAGTGTTTTGGTTTGCGCAATAAACAGCTGTTCGTCAAGTAGGAAATTAAGTTGCTTTGTTCATTCCCGAGACATCAGCTAACTGTGACAAAGAAAGTAGTCGACTCTTACTAGGCCTGTACCATAGTCAACTTGTAGGTAAATATTATAATATTTTTTTAAGTTTTGAAAAAGGTGCTGTGACAATACTAGCTAATACTACTAATTCAGTAATTATTAATACTTAATGGTGAAACTGGAACTAATTTAATATAACAGTAGAACTTATTGGAACTTGCATATTATAGCCTAACGCTAGCACAGTCAGCTGCAGTGTAGTTGCTTAACACTATAATTTATAAATGAATATAAATTAGATTTAGAATAATAACAGTGAATGTATTATTGTATAGTTTGACAACGGATTATGTAAGCTTAATGAAGTTAATAGGCTTGTAAACAATAACTCAAAAGTTTACTAGTATTTTGTATTACTAATTATTATAAAAATTTGGAATATGTTGTCAGTTACTTTTCAACATATATTTAATTTTAAATAATAGTGGTTGATAACTAATTTCAAATACACTTGAAATCACTGAGCCACTGTTGCACAGTCAGTCTTGTTTAACCCAAAACCTGAACTCTGTATATGCTTTTAAGTTTTAATACATACACACACACATATTTAAATCTTATTCAAAAGCTTAAAAATTTATCTTATAATCTGTCATTTACTTGTTGAGGTGGTTTGATTCCTTCAAAAAATGTGAGACTGACTATAAGCTATAACTAGCTAATGAAAAAATTATATAAAAATTGTTACATTATTGTTTTAACTGAAAATCTACAAACATAATTTAACCAAAATCAATGATACATTAATTTATAGTAACTATAAATATATCCAGTTAAGTATTACCATAGAAGAAAACTTCTGCTGTTGTGATTAGGCAATTTGATGCTATCTTGTTAGGCTGTTTTCTTGTCTGTAGTTGTATGCTAACTTTAGTCTTACAATGTCTGTTGATTTGAAACATCTTGAATAGTATAACACAGCTACAAGTTCCCAAATAACATTACACATGGACAAAAAGAAGAGTCAGAGGGGAGCTGATTGAAGTGTTTAAAATTGTTAAGGTAATTGATAGTGTTAATATGCCTTTTTTTTCTTTAATGGTGAGAATGCTAGGACTAGGGTGCAAGTACAAATTTTGTACAGGTTTGGTGGCCTTTAGAGTGGGTTGCTTTCAGATGTAATGGATGCAATAAGTTTAAGGGAGTTTAAACAAAGGCTTCATAAATACTTAAATGATAAGGACTGGATTTGAATTATTTTTTCTTTAAGTGTAGTGGAAGGGATGAAGGTCCATTCCATTGTTGTCCTTAAATTTTATGTATTTATGTAAAAGTAAAAACTTAAACCCTCCCTTTATATTAAAAAATCATCAATTTCAATATGGTAGAAAAATAAAACTTTTAAATGGAGTCTTGTCTGTCTTTTCCAAATCTTAAACATTGTGTCCTCTCATCCTCTTGTCTTTAGAATACAGAACAAAAATATCAGAGGCCTTTATCCTATTGATCTCCCAGATGATCTTGTAAATTTCAATAGGATTACCTCCTACCATACTTTTCTCAAGAAAAAGTAAGTTGAGAGATCTTAATCCTTCTCCATAAGATAACTATTCTATCCTCAAAATCATTCTTGTAGCCCATCTTTGGACTAGATTGATCACCATTCCTGATTTAAGCAGTACTGTTCTGTACTGAGAATATTATGGTCTGTTCCTAAATCATGCATAAAATTATTTTATTTTACCTGGCAAACAATTTAGCTTAACACTGTAGTAGTAGAACACATTTTCAATTTGTAAACAAGTGAAAGCCAGCTATCAGCAGATTTTGAAAAGGGGTGACAGTGTCCTGTGACCCCAAGAAGTATACTTTTCATACATTTCTACAATGATAATAACCTCAACAATGAAAATGGTAAACAGCTGGTCTTATAGCAAATGCTAGTAGGTTTTTAAAGATGGTCATCTAACTCTGACCTCTTTTTAATTAGTCGATATCCTTTTCAGGTAGATACCAAAACTGTACTAAGCATTCTTAGTGAGTCCTAACTAGTGATTTGTTTAGAAAGATAATTACTTTTTCTAACTTATAATCAGTACTTTTATAATTACACCTTACAAAAGTACAATTATGTTAGTTATCTTTACTACTAGCAAAAGCTGTTAATAACATTATTAACAGGAATGGAGTACAGCTTTAATAGCTTAAGTTACTGAACCATGCCAAGATCCTTTAATTCAGCCATGCTGTTGAGTTGATTGTCATATATATTAAATGTGTGGTCCAAATTATAATAACTCAGGCTTGGATAACTCATACCTGGAACTCACCTTTATTAAAATTCACTTGCACAATATTTGTCAAATTTACCAATTTATCAAAGACATTCTGTTCTATCTCAACATCTGCAATACAGCTAGAAATACCTAAGAGTTTTATATCATCAGAAAACTTTACTGACATACTAATTATGATGCTATCAACATGATTACTAGAAATATTAAAACCAAATGCCTAAGCTTTGACCTCTAAGACACTTCACTAATAACAAGGGTCTAATCTGATTGTGCTCATTTAATATCAACCTTTTACTTTCTCTCATGCAGTAAATTAGTCTTTCTCCAAAGTCATACTGATGGGTTATTCTAGTTAATCTTTTGTGTGGTACCTAATCAAAAGTTTTTGAAAGTCTTAAGTACAAAAAGTCTACACTCTTTCCATTGTCAAGTTAGAAATTAATGCCTTTAAAAAATTATCACATTAGCAAGGCAAGACTTTGCTATGCTTTAGTAAATCCATCTTGACTTCCTTTTATGATAGCATACTTCACTAAAGGATTTTGTAAAGCTTCTTCTACGAAATTCTAGCATTTTGCCCTCTAGAAAAGCAAATTCAGAGCCAAGATATTAGGATAATTCAGCAGCACATAAAATATTGTGAAAATGTATTCAAACTGCTGAAAAGAAATAAGCTGTGTTAGTGCTAGAGTCAAAAATTGTTTTAACCGTGTGGTTTATTTGTGTTAATTTTAATTAGCCAAGTAAGTGAACATACATTTATTGTTTTATTGTAGTGGGTATATTTGACATTTTTTTTTCATTTTAGCAAATCTATATTGCTCATAGCTCAGTCATAATATTCTGAGTGAATGAGTGACTCTTACCATGTTTTAACTCGGCAAGATGCACTTATTAATATAGGTCATTCTCAGGTCAATAAGAAAGAAAAGCACCAAATTTATAAGTCATTGGAGGTGGCAATACTAAAAGGCTGTTGAATTTAAATGAAATGCCAGTTGAGATGTAATAGTTGTAATATTTAACAATTTACAGAAATGTGCTTAGAGTGGGTTAAAAAGCAAGTTTATTATGATGCAATCTTAATTTTAATCAGTTGGATGCTTATGACTGGTATTGGTGAAAAAATTAAGTCAACAGAAATTCTGCTTACTTGTAGAAAGCAGACAGTGGTCACAGATGGACTCTTGTTTTTTTAAATTTGTTAAATGTGACTAGTGAAGTCCTTCAGAAGTCTGTTTAAGACCTTTGTTGTTAGTGTTGTACTTAAATGACTTGTAAGGATCTTTGTTGTTAATGTTGTACTTAAATGACTTGTAAGGATGTTTGAGCAGTAGTGTTACCAAATTTGCTGATAATACTAAATTGCTTGGAAGAGCTGCTACTTCTGAGAGTAACTCCTCTTATCCAAAGGGACCATGGCATTCTTAAAGAATGGAAGAGAATTTACAAGATATATTTAATGTTATGAAATATGCTCTTGAGATATGGGAGTTTGAGAAGAATTTACTTCTTGTGTAAGAAGAACATTTATATCATTTAGCTTTGATTTTCCATCTTAGTCAGCAACATTTCTTTTTTTCTTATTTAGTTTTGGACTTTTTATCAAAGTGCAGAAGAATTAGGGAGCCTTGATTCAGGTGTTTAAAATTGTTAGGTATTTTCACATTCTTCCTCTCAGTTGTATGATTGATGGAGTGAAAAGGTTAGAAATACATAACTATTAGGAACCATAGGTTTAACCCTTAGAAGCTTAGTTGTAGACTATTTTATTAGTTATAACTGTGTGAAATGTTTTGTCTAATAATGAAGTGTACATTATTAATTTGAATTCATTTAAAATTTTGTTGGTGAAATATAGTAATAAAAAACTATGTTTGAGCTGGATTAATTTAAGTAAAAATAGTAATTTTTTAATGAGATGTAAGCTTTATGGACTAAATATCACTTCTTATTTCATATGATTTATCTATCTCCACTTTGTATCAGAACTTTATCAACGTTTTCGTGTCTCTAATACTGCACATAAATCTTTCAAACACTGTATACCCTTCTCATTTTAGTAGACCTCTTGCTGTTGGTGAGAATATTGTTACGACAGCAGAAGTCACGCGATGCTGGGAGCATGGGCGCTGGAATTTCTAGAAGGATCATGACTTATCGGGGAACCCCACGAATGTCCCAGTGTTTGCTAGATGCCCTCTTTTTTAGTATATAAGCCAGTGAAAGATAGAATTGCATAGATAGGTATAGAGATAGATAAATGAGTCGAGCGAACAGTAGGCACCGTAAGTAAAGTGTGTGAATCGCTGTGAATTATAGCTGTGTTTATAAAAGTAGTTAAGTTAAAGTGACTTGGGAAATTCTGTGTATTGCAAAGTTGTATCGAGAAAGAATAAACTAGTTTTAATTAAGAAAGGACTTGTATAGCTGAAGTTTCTCGGAAAGGATTTCTTCGGGAAATTAACAAACAAGCAGATACGTAACAAATTGGTGTCAGAGAGTGGGACAGAAAAGAGAAGAAAAAAAGGTGGAAACGAAAAGTGGCAAATCAAACTAGAGCTTAGCAGATTTGATGGCAGCAATATAAGAACAGCAAAAGAAACCAGAAGAACGAGAAAAGAAACAACAAGAGTGACAGCAGCAGTTGCAAGAAAACTTGCAACAGTGGCAGCTCGAACAGCAAAATAAACAAGAGAGACTACAGCAGTTGTTGGAGAAAAAGAAAAGAAACAAGAAGAGAGGCTACAGCAATGGTTGGAGGAGAAAGAAAACAACCAAGAAGAGAGGCTACAGCAATGGTTGGAGGAGAAAGAAAACAAACAAGAAGAGAGACTACAGCAGTGGTTGGAGGAGAAAGAAAATACACAAGAAGAGAGACTACAGCAGTGGTTGGAGGAGAAAGAAAATAAACAAGCAGAAAGTCTCCAAGAATTGAGAGAAAGCCAGCATACACGAATGGAAAAGATTAGTAAATTTCAAAGTGAATTAAATACATTAAAGGACGACTTACTATCCTTTACACAGGGAGGATATATTAACCATGGACCTCATCAGCCCCAGACAACAGGAAGCCCCTTCCAGACCCCGCAGCTAAGCCCTAATGCAGACATCTTTAGTCCTGCCAGAAGTCACATTCCAGACACGAGTGTCAGCAATAGGGGTGATATAGTATGAAGGAAGCCACAGTAATTCGATGGGAAGCACATAGAGCACAATTTGAGCCACTGGCAGAAATGAATGGATGGACAGAGGAGCAGAAAGCAGTGTACCTCACAATAAGCCTGAAGGGACAACCACTGGAAATACTTGGACAATTGTCAGTAGATGACAAGCACAACTATAGAACACTGGTAGCTGATCTAGAACTCAGGTATGGAACTCAAAATCAGTTCGAAGTCTACAGGGCTAGCTTTAGGACGAGAGTCCGTGCTAAAGGGGAGAGCCTACAATAGCCTACTGAAAATACAAGTAAAGCAAGCACACCACTCTACTCTGCAGGATGCAATGGCCAGAGCTCTTGAATTCGAATCCTATGTTAAGTCCAGCACAGAGGTACCAAGGTTGGCACAGTCATCAGGATTCAAGGCCAGGAAAGGTCAGCTTTCAGAGAGGTTTAAGGGACTTTACTGGCACTGTAACAAACCGCAGCACAAGAGAGCTCAATGCTAGAAACTTCAACAAAGGAAAGATGTCACGGCAGGAAAGGCTGATACCCAGAAAGGTTGTTGGAACTGTGGAGAGCACGAACACATGAGGAGCCAATGTAAGAAGAATACTACCAATAAGTCAGCTTTGGAAAACCAGTAGTGGTTGGTGCTGAGGGATGCCCACCAACCCACATTGTGAAAGTCCCAACAGCTACGTGTAAAATGGCAAGCACACAGGTAGAGTCTACGTGACAGGAAAACTGGACGACCAAAGTTGCATATTTGGGTTGGACTACTTACTACTGAAGAAGGGTGTAGTTAACTTCGATAAAATGACGATTGGGAACGACAAAGGCCAAATTCCAGTAAGTGTTGCTGCATCAGTTGATTTGCATGTCACAGCATTTAAGTCAACTATAATACTCCTTATGTCAGAGAACATAATTTGGGGTAGAATAAAAGAACATCACCAAGGAAGCCTGGTACTTGTGGAAGCAGTGGAAAGCCCAACCAGGGCAGCAGCTGTGAAGATTGGAAGGTCACTTGTGGTAGGTCATAAAGTAATAGCCATTACAGTGTCCAATTTCTCTAAATGTGAGCAGACACTTAAGGAAGGGGCGTTGTTGAGTGTGTGCCAGGAGGTCGAGCCAGTCAATGTTAAGGAAAGAAATATGACCTTATAGAAAGGCCATCCTTTCCCAGAACATTTAAATGACCTCTATAGGAAGAGTATAGTCCATTTGTCATCATCACAGGCTCTTCAGGTTAGGGAGCTTTTGGTGAATTATGCAGACGTTTTTTCGAAAGGAGATCATGACCTCGGCAGCACAGACCTTGTAGAGCACAGAATAAACATAGGCAATCAGCATCCCTCCGATGAGAATAGCTCCAGCAAAGCAACAAGAGATGGAGAAGGTCATGGATGGCTTAATTAAAGAAAGGATAGTCGAAAAATCAGATAGTCTCTGGTCAGCTCCTGTCATGTTAGTCCAGAAGAAGGATGAGACCCAACGTTGCTGTGTGGATTTCAGGACCCTTAACAGTGTAACCAAAAAAAGACTCATACCCACTGCCAAGAATTGATGATACTCTTGATACTCTAGGTGGAGCCATGTGGTTTTCAACTCTAGACTTAAAGTCGCGTTTCCATCAAATGAAAATTGCTGAAGCAGATAAATCTAAGACTGCACTTAGTTATGGCCAAGGTCTCTAGCAATACCGTGTGATGCCATTCGGGCTTAACAATTCTCCAGCAACATTTGAGAGGCTGGTGGAAACAGAACTGGAAGGCCTACAATGGAGGATAGCCCTAGTGTACCTGGACGATGTCATTGTGTTTGCAACAACGTTTGATGAGAAAATGTCCTGGCTAGAGGAAGTATTCAATCGTTTGAAAGCAGCAAACCTCAAACTCCATCCCAAGAAATGCAGCTTGTTCCAGAAATAGGTGCTTTACTTAGGTCACATTGTAAGTGAGCATGGTGGGCAAACTGATCTTGACCAGGTGAAAGCAGTACGTGATTGGCCAACACCAAACAATGTGGGATCACTACATGATTTGACAAAAAAAGGCCAGAAGTTTGAATGGACAGTTTCTTGCCAGCATGCTTTCAAGATATTGAAAGAAAAATTGGCCTCAGCTCCACTTTTAAAGCTTCCAGATCCCTCGCTGCCATACATACTGGATTATGATGCTGGAATTGGAGGAGTGTTGTCTCAAAAGGTGGGCGAAAACGAACATGTGGTGGCCTACTTCAGTAGGGTCCCGACTATACCGGAGTGGGACTACTGTG